ATTTATACTTAAAATATTACATACCCAACGTTTCTAGTAGGAGTAGATGCACTTGATTTTGTAGGTTTAGATGTATCTGGCAAAGGACCTAATTCTTTTACTTTATCCATTAAAACTTTTTCTAAAGTATTTGCATCTTCGTATATTAAAGAACCTTCTTCATTGTATTGACGGCAATTATTAAACATTAACTAAAATTAAATAATAATACAAATCAATATAAAGCACATATTTTAGATGTAGCAATGTACAAAATATACCTTAAAATCTTGTATTAATTCATTTTCACTTTGATATTTTTCTGCTTTAATATTAGCTTCAATGGCTAACATATCGATTGGTTCTGCTATTACTTGATAATAATCTGGATATAATTTTTTAGAAGGCTTTTCCATAAACATTAACATTGGTTGCCGACCGTCTTCACACTATAATATAATAATCTCTGTATTGTTAAGCTTCAGTTTCAGTAATTGAATTTGGAATTACTTACAACGTATTCTATAACACATTTAACTAGTGCATACAATCGTTTTTTCAATGGTATATTGTCTTTATATTTTCCACGTGTTAATAAATTTGAAGCACGTTTAATAAGCTTGGGTTGATGAGAACTATTTTCAAATTCACTATCCGAATCGGAATCCTATAAACACAATACAAAAGCATAAAAAGTTCATGTCAAATTGGATTAATGTGGAAAGTTCTTTAACCAAAACTATATTAGCAATTCATATTATATACATAAATAAAAAGGTGTTATTAAAAATTATTCATTTAGTATGCTGTTAATATGTTAATATTTTAACTAATTCAAGGAAAAAGAATTTATCATAATACAAATGATAAAAACGTGAAATCTAAACAATAATATATTTTCACTCAAATAAAATTTTAATTACCTGATCAAATTCTAACAGTTCTTGTACTTTTTCTTGCATAATTTTTTGTAGTTTTACAGCACACTAGAATAATAAAGTACAACTGAATAACATAAATTATGAATGGGAATTGTTTAAAATTGATATTTATTACCTTATATAGTCTAGATGTATGAATATTATACTTTTTTGCATTTTCAAACATAATATTCATGTCACCAGCCACTTCACTAACAGTACCATATTCACCTTTCTGCAACAAATATAAATTATAAATGAAATAAAAATAATTTGTAATGTATAAAACGATTTGTATATTTACTAATTACCTTTATCTTAGTACGAATTTGCAACAAAGAAATAGGATTTTTAATCATTTTATAGTAGTCAGGGTATAACCTTTTTGATGGCAATTTCCAAAAATATTCACTCATCCTAACACCTGCACAAATAAAAGAAATTGAATCAATACTATTATTATTAAATGTTTATTATAAATATTGTAATACATTAAACAAATTTCATAAAGTACCTTGGTTGTTAGGGGCTGTTCTGATAGTTTGAAATAGTTGCCACTGTGGATTGTCAGCTTCTTCAGTTTCTGCAGGTTCTTCATCTTCATCGTCGCTTTCTTCATCTTCATCAGGCAATGCTGCAGTTTGAGCTATTAAGGACTGTGCCATAGTACGACTTCCTCTTTTACTTCGAGTTGATGGCGCAGTTATTGCAATTTTTGGAACAGTGCTACTTAATCCAATATCTTGTTTTCTTGCTGCTGCAGTAATAATCTTTTTTAGAAGTTTAGCATCTTTATAAATTTGAGAACCAGGCTCATTAAACTGACAAGCATTACGACACATTAACATTAAATCTTTTTCCATATCCGAAATGCTACTATAGGCTCCTTCTTGAATTTTTCTTGCAACTGTTTTCAAATCTACTGGTGTCTCAATTACGTCATAATATTCTGGATATAACTGGAAACATATTATTCATATAATAAATCTGTTTAAAACAGTAATATATTAATACTTCACCAGCAAAAATGTATCGAACTTTTTTGGATGGTTTAAGTTGAAACATTGTATGTAGTGGTCTATTATTGTCAGCTGGATCTGTTGCTGTCATGACTGCTGCAAATAAATCTTCAAACTGTTGCATTGTCTCTTCATCAGGATTTGTAGAACTCTCAGATGTATCTTCTGCATCTTCTTG